GCATTAATATGAGTGATGTGTACAGTATCTGTCGTGTATATACAGCTGTGTGAAAATCTTCTTAAGTTCCTTAAATCCGCGCAAAATATTTGAAGGCAACATGACAAATATATTGATAGATCTGCAACTGCAGCCTGCCAGAGCACAGTGCCATTATGCACGGCCGTCCGCCGTGTTTACCTTCATTAAAACATGCAAATGACACCCGGCTGCTACAGAATAACTGCCACACACCTCCACACACTTCAGGCTGGTTGGCTGTCTGTGTTCTGCCCGGATTGATCCTTCCTTTCTAACTAATAATAAAAAAAAACACTCATCAGCGGTTCATGGTTTATTCTTGAAATGCGTTGCGGTGCAAATGCTGCTGCTTTCACATTTGAGGATACAATGAGACAATTAACGACCTGAAATAGCGTCCGATTGATCATCAGTACAGAACGTGATGCAACATGAGAGGATCAACGCACTAGCTTTCCACACAAAATCAAGTCAGAGAAAACATGCTTTTGGCTACACACATTGTTGCATGAAGGTGGTGTAAGGGTGTCATCTAGATAACAAAGGCATATTAATGCTACTAGTCCCACTGTGTGCATCCGTGTATGTGTGAGGCCACAGCTCCCGTGCATGCCCTCTGGGTAGAATTGTAAGGTTAGGACTTGTAAGAAGACACTGCTGTGTCAGCAAGTTGCCATGACAATGTTGTCATCCCCCCCCGCTGTTTCATTGTCTTTTTTCCTCCTCTTGTCTTTCAGGGGGTGAGGTCACATGACTGAATTGATCCCTGTAACACAGGGATACATAGAGCACTGTCCCTCTCTTTTCGTCCTCTTTCACAGCCGCACAGATCATCCGTCACACAGCCGCCACCTGCAGCGTCACTTTCTCAAAGAGTCGGTGCAGCGCGTGAGGATTCTGAGTTGTGTGTGCTGACATGTCGCATAAAGAGGATGGCTCATTTAGATTTATTTCTGTCACATGGCAGATGTGGGAATCGATTACCCCGCGTCAGAGCGAATAGGTAATGTGTGAGGCATAACGTCGCATAAATCAACATGACACGGCTCTTGAATAATGCAGAGAAGACCGTTTTGATTGAATCTTTTTAGAGATTGGTTCGCTGGCGTTACCCACTGAATACAAATCCAAGGTAGTTGTGTTGCTGCCTGCCATCCTGCCTGGGCTTTGGAGGCTAATAGCCCGGTGGGCCGCTACATAATTGATTGTCTACAGAGAGCCAGGCTCACAGCTCTGCAGCCTTTATTGCAAAATGGTAAGAAAATCTGAACACAAATGAGACTTACTGCACATGGCCTACATGTAAACATAAACACACACGTTGTGCTCAAATCCAGTTTGTGTGGAGTTACAGATGTGATAAAAGTGCCTCGCCTCAACCTTTGAACCCTGCAGTGTTCCGACAAGGCAGTGAACGTCCTTTCTATTTTGTCTGCGCGATGAAATCAAATCGTTAACCTGTGCTAATGAGTTTGGCCACCAGGGAGCCGCTTCATTAGGTGCAATGTGCTTCCTCATCAGGTCCGGTCGCTCTGCGTTCCCTTCCTTCATCCTCTGCTCCGGCTGCGTCTCAAGGGTGAGGGGTGAGGAGAACAGAAGGTCAGGAGAGAGGGGGAGGGGGGGGGGGGGGGCGTTACAGATGACATTTTATTGTTGTGCCTGAAATTCCATTCACAGCCACGGCAACTGTTGAAGCCGCTGGGTGCCGTGTATCCCAGAGTTCCTTGCAGTTCTTGCAGAAGTTGTTTCAGGAAAGGGAAGTTGCTCCGTTGCAAGACTTAAGACTTACCGCAAAGCTGAAAGGAGTAATCAATTAAACAAATTAATTGTATGTGAAGAGGATTGCAAGATAACAGAAACGCATTAAGATACAATGGATCTGCAGTGACGATATTTACACCAGTTCGGAAGCATCAGCAGCCACCTGGGCATTCTACCTTCCTGTAGTCATGCCTCATATCCACGCCTCTCTACTGCCATTCGTCTTCTCTCTCTCCGACTCACCCTCATTCATTCCTACGAGCTCTGAATGAGTCAGTGCAGCTCATGAATACAGACGCAGAGTTGGGAGGAGGCAGAGTGGAGACAACAGAGCCGCGCTGGTCCCCGAAGGTTAGATATGAGAGGGATTGTTGCTGAGCAAGATTTACACTCTGTTACACAGCCGGATCAGTCGCCACAGACTCTTCCCTCCTTCTGTTTCTTTATGTTCCATCACTCTCGGCCGTTTTCATCCTGCCTCATCTGTTCTCCTTTTTTTTTGTCTCCGCTTGCTCTCCTGGCCAATTTTCTTTCCATTTATCAGTTTTTATTTCCTTCTATATTACCTTCCTGCTTCTGGAATATTGTTGCGTAAATCTCCTCCTCCTGACACCGCCGTGTCCATCCCTCACAAATAATGGACCGGAAACTCTAAATTGAGGTCAACGGATGCACTATAAAACTCTCTAACCGTATCCCTCCTCTGTTCTTACCCATGATGCCCCTGTCACATGTCCATGTGCATGCACGTTTTAAGCATTCGTGTGTGTGTATTTAATATGCAGGGAGGAAGTGACCTTGCTTAACGGTAAAGTCACTGAGTTGTAATCGATGCTGTGGTGCTTCTTTTGTGTATTTTTTTATTTAATAATGGAAATGGAGAGCCACTAATGCATTACCTCCACACGTGTAGAAAGTCATATGAAGCCTGTAATGTGTCCTCCCTCACGTGCTGCTGGTAAAGGTGTGTTGCGTAATTGAGGTGAACCCGTCATGAGCGTCACCTTGGCGCTCACTGTGTGTGTGTGTGTGTGTTTGTGTGTGTGTGATGGAGCGCTGCTGCTGTGCCAGCATATTCCTCAATCCGATGGCTCTGCCCTGGCCGCCCTTCAACCCGGCCGCCGCCCTCCAATCCCTTCATCCCTGAATATCACGGCTCGGTGCCAAGCGGGCAGGGTAGGGCGACGGATCCAGGCGCGGTTTACGACCCCCTTCGTCCTCCAATCGGACACGAGTGCTGTTAACGTGATGGATGGAGTGGCGAGACAGGCGCTTATACAATCACCCAAAGGGGGATGAAATATGGGGGAAGATGGAGATTAAAGGGGCAACCAAAGGGACCATGCTTGGCGCTCAACCTTTGCCTAACGAGTGAACGGCTGGGTGCGCCCGGTGTATCTGGTTGAATCCTGGGTGTGTTTAAATGATGGTGTGTTATATTTTGGGGCACAGGAAGGGTCAGCAGTCTGCAAGGTGATGTAACGAGAATGTTTTTTTTTTTTTGGGCTTTTCTTTATGTGGCAGATGTTTAGTTGTATTGAAGATTAAAATCCATGCGTACCAGTCTCACCCTCATCTTTGTACATAGTTGGCTTTACAGCCAGACAGCCTATTATAGACTATGTTCTGTGCTTTATAGATTTTTAGAAATGATTTAGCTGTTTACCACAAGAGTGTGATTCACCAGCACAGGTATTGTAATTAATTGTTTATTGTCTTTGGTGGGTAATTTCTCCGGTTTTGTTGTGTAGCTGTTTGACTGCCACGGGGAATTGGTTCTCTCAGCCAGCAGGATATGAGAAATGGTGCAGTGAAAGGAGTTCCAAAGATGAAATGGGATATGCGAGGGACAGAGAAGTGAAAGAGGGAGGGACACCTGCTTAGAGAAGGGATTCATGTCTGCTAGATTTATAGGTATGAAACTGCCAAATGTATTTTTAAATGTATACACTTATAGACTTATACGTGTTTGTGTGTCCTATTTAGGATGATAAGATTTGTTGGAGGGCCTTCTGTTCTTACAGTAATATATTCCTCTCTTTCACTCCCCAATAGTTCCGTTTAAAGAAGCCGTGATTTAATTAACTGTGGATAAGGATGTGAGCTTTGGGACGTTGTTGGAACCGCACTATAGGCGTTAACGTGTGCTCTGTTGGCCACATCCAGGGAGGAATGGATTTCCAAAAGCACTCAGTGTTGGGATGAAAATATGAGGGCGGTAAAAGATGCAACCCTCCTGTGATGTAGGTGTGCTGTATGCAAATGTTGGCAGGGCGGCTGAAATGGCTTCTGAGGTTTAATTCTGAGAAAATCAAACTTTGTTGATGGAGAAGTGTGTGTGTGTGTGTGTGTGTGTGTGTGTGTGTGTGTGTGTGTGTACATGTGTGTACATCTGTTATGTAATCTGGCAGATATATTTGTAGACATCTCGCCAGTGAAAATTGAAAAATAACTGTTCAGTCTACTTGTGAATGAGTCATTCACGGAAACATTTAATGCATATGCACACACACACACATCGTAAAAAGCTGATTCCTCCCCTCACACACACACACATGCACTCTCACACCCTGATGGCTAGCAGCAATGTTCCAGGTGTAATTATAGAAAGTTTGCCCCCTGATTACAGCTAGTAAATGGCTTTGACTCTCGTCTCTGCTGGATGTCCACAGGAGGTTTTTCCACTTGTCCAACTGAGGTTATCTAACTTTAATGAGTTTTTCCCTTCCTGCGGCAAAGTGAGTGATTTGTTCACCTCCAGTGAGGGGCCCCGAGAGCCCCCGAGGGCTAATGTTTCACCCCACTCGCTCTCGGAGGTTTGCTGGCGCGGGAGAGCTGCCGGCGGGCCCTCCGGTCAGCGCGAGACCTTCCGGAGCTTTTAGGTCGGCTACAGGCGCTTCAAAAGCTGTGAGAAATGACCTCGGGGCCGGTGGAGAGTTCCCACTGATCTCGGTGCAGGTGTTCTGAATGTGGTGGACGATGCATCAGGGATAATGAGCAGCACCCACGGGTCTGATTTAAACAGTTGGGTCATTAAGAGTAGGAATGAAGGAAGTTGAACAAACTTGCTCTGGCACAAAGTGTTGTCGTCTTGTTTTAATAATGGGAGTAAATGTAGACGTCATGCTCATCAAATCAAATTAGTTATAGTAGCTCTAGTTTAAAGGGTGTTTGATGTTCTAGACGTTTCTGATTGCTTCTCTCTGTGTCTCTTCCAGCCATCATGTACGTGATGGGAGCTCTGGGACCTGCAGCTGGCTACCTGCTGGGAGGCGTCCTCATCGGCTTCTACGTCGACCCCAAAACGGTCGTGAACATTGATCAGAGTGACCCCCGCTTCGTTGGCAACTGGTAAATATACACCTGTGCAATTGCCCGATCCCTTAGGTGCGTTTCTCGTGCAATGATGTGTTCTCAAGTGTCTTCACAACCCGCCCTGTCGTTTCTTCCCGTCAGGTGGAGTGGCTTTCTCTTGTGCGCCGTAGCCATGCTTCTGGTCATCTTTCCCATGTTTGCCTTCCCCAAAAAGCTTCCCCCACGCCACAAAAAGAGGAAGAAGAAAAAGATGGGCTCGCCCGGCGATGTGTCCAGCGATGACGATGTGATGAAGGAAAAGTCCAGTAGCAAAGACCAGAATGTCTCCTCCTCCATGGGCTTTGGAAAGGACATCAAAGGTGAGAAACGGATAATATCAGCCTTCCCTTTCCACCTCTGGAGGTGTCGCGAGTACCCGACATAAAGGAACTGTGAGTTATTGATGTACAAATGGCCCGTGATCCCATCGATGGCCAGGATTAGTCATTTTATCTAACAGCGGAAGCTCCGTTGAGAGCTCCTTTTTAAAGATGTTATTGATCTGTGACGGAGGAGGCTGGAAGCAGGGATTCACTTTAAACACGGGCAGTTTTGGTCGACATGTGGTTCTATTTACTTTAGTAGATTAATAGCAAACATGGCTTAAAGTCATAAATAATTCCTGTCAGTTGGGGACTTGCTGTTCAAATTTAGGACAGTCGGCTTTTGACATTATACTCCTCAAACAATCAGGAATTCTTCAGTTTTGAATAAAGAAAACATAAAATTAGGAAGATTTGAAATGGTTTAAGAGCATTTACTTTCCTTCTCTGAGTCAGATAGACCAGGGATCTCCTGGCTTTCCCTGGAAGAGCCCCCTGGTTAAGCTCTATTCTGCTCCAGTGTTTCCTAGCTTCCTCTTGTCTGATTATTTTTCAGATAGACACCACACACACACACTCGCTCTCTCTTAAATGAGCTCTCAGGGGAACTCAGTCACGTTCCCCCACACAGGAGTAGAGAGTCTAAGCAGCAGAGCAAAACTGTAGAGTGCATGTTTGCTCTCACACTCTTTATTGTACGCAAAACAACTAAAGTGAATTTTAACATTTATTTAAATGGGTGTATAACTCACAGAATCATGCTTATGTGCTTTCCCCGGAGCAGGATTAGTCTGGGAGAGCAGATAACACGAAATGCAACCATGAATGCATTAAAGCTTTTTTTCAGACCAGCGGCTCTCCTGCTGTTCTACTCGTCCCAGCAGGATGTTTGGGGCTGTTGTGCAAACTATGGCCAGTTTTGCCGACCCAGGCACTTCAATGTTTGGATCTGTAATGTATTATAGTGCTGTGCGTGTCCTTCTATTGAGGTTTGTGTTTCGTCCATCGCACAAATTCAGCACTTTCAGTGAAATGTGTGAAGAAGCTGTTTTCATCGAGGATTCTTTTTTTTTTTTTTTTCCCCACTTCTGATCATCAGCAAACACTGAAAAATGCCAACACTGAATATTTTCAGTAGTGCACGTCAGGGACGCACTTTTGACTGTGGAATGTTGCAGACCTTGTGCAACTGCTGTTTGCAAGCAACTCTTAAAATGTCTTTCTTTCTGCTAGAATAGATGAGCCACAAATGTTCTATCACAATTATATTTCAGTGGCAGATACCGTGAAGCAAAGTGATATTTTACAAAAGTAGTTTCAACGAATACTTTCAAATAAGTGTGACTCAACTCTCACTATTTGATTCTCAATGTTTAAACTTCCTGACGGATGGTAAGAAACTGACAAAAGGAATTAATCGATTGATCGACTAATTGCTTGTCAAGTATGTTCCAAGCCAAGGTGACATCCTCCCAATGTTATTTTAGAACCTGATCGATAATCAAGATAACTGGTGATACATTTTCTGTCGATTGACTAATCATTGAAGACTTTTATATAAATGTATAGCTTATCTAATCCGTGATTTATTTCCCATCCAAATTTGGATTAAATTGGCCTGCTTTTACATTAAATGCTCAGATTACAGATTAGATTAGTTGTCGTATTAAATTCATGAAATCTGTCAGAAATTTAAAGTGTTTTTAGACTGTGCCCACCATTGTTGTTAAAATCCCAGTGAAATGGAGGTTAGAGCGTCTTTAGCTTCTGTACTGTGACGTATTCCCCAGTGAGATGCATATTTGAGTGGTGCACAGTTACAAGAGGGGTATGAGTCACACAATCAAATGCATTTGATTGGACCGCTCAAATGGGTGGGCTGAGAATGTAGCCTGATACGAAGCTACAACGGATTGTTTGGTCCACACACTCCTCCCTTCTCTATGAAAGTTTCCGATTGATTGGCTGGATGGAGCTCATATTATTATTGGTTTAAACTGGTTGGTTGGGGATTTTTTTTATTGCCACTGCTGAGGCTCGCTTCATGGGTTGAAACATCACCTGTTTAAGCTACAGTGCATTGACAGCTATCACAAATACAATGCTATTAACACCCGTCTCCTCGCAAAGAGAAATGTGCAGCAAAAAGCTGATGGAGGAGACAGTTTGACCAAGTCCTCAAATACATTTCCCACAAGAACGGAGCGAGTGTGGCAACTATTGCGAAGCCGGTGGTCGGTCTGATTGAGAGAGCAGCTGCTGTAGACGTCAACAGGACCTCGCCATCTGCCCCCCCCCCCCTCCAGACAAGATTACAGCCCAGCTCCACAGGAATGAAATAATTAGTGTCACCATTCTATTCATACCTTTTTTTTTTTTTGATCCGAGATAACATCGACAGATGCTAACGTTGCCCCGCCTACAACTATGTTAGTTGAATTAGTGCTAAGATGGCTATCCCCAAATAAATGCAACGTGCCAGCTTCATAATAACCTCCTTAGTAAACTAATATTAATCCACTTTACATACTCCTGTCCTGCCTTTTTCTTTTGTTCTTTTTGTTTTTCGTCTGTGTGTGTGAAGCACATGAGACAGCAGACGCCCCTCATGATAGCTGTATGACTGTAAAGTCTTAATATTTGCCCTCAACACGTGGCTTAAAACACAGACTGATGTCTGACTTTTGTTGCCAAATGTGGCCCTTCACAGACCACACACACTCACAGAAAGAGAGTGAGAGAGGAAAAAAGACTTCACAGAGAGAACAGAAACTGAGGTAGATGATAAAATCCCAAAAACTCATATTCTGCTGATAAATTCTCTCTCCTCTGCCATTTATCATTCCGTATCTAATTAAAGTTAAACGATCAGCCCCCAAAGTTAAGATTCATTTAAATAGAGAAACGTTGCGTGCACATAAGTGACCTCGCTTCTTTAAGTTCCTGATAATCATTTTAGAGGAAGGGACCTCTCCTGGCCTTTTTGGATATCAACTGCAGGAAAGAAGCGAAGAGAAAATCATGTCTCTTGTGAGCTGAAAATATGAATCTTTATATTCGTGGCCTTAATTTGAATGAATAACCCGATAGTTCAATCTGATTCTTTTTTTTTTCATTGGATGTAAGACGAACAAAATAACAAAGCAGACCTCCGCTCTCTCCAGCATTGTGTTCCAGATCAAGGACAGTTTGGAGATGTCGTCCCCGCAGCGTGTCCTGGGTGTTCTCCGAGGTCCCTGTGGACTGCGGAGATCCCCATTCTGTCAAACCTGCTCCTGAAATCTTTTGCCCTCAGTCTGGAGATGAAGGAGCTTGTATGTTGCGGTGACCCTGAGGACTGTGTTCTCTGGCAAAGACATTTAAAGCAAACTTTTTAAATGCGAGAGACTAGACACTGAACAAATCAGGACAACCATCATAGTGGTCCAACAATGATCTGACAGACGTAGTTTTCTCTCTCTCAAAGTTGTGACGTGATTCCATATTAAACGGGATGTTGGGAATGGGACTTACAGTTGAGAGGAACATGATTTGATGCTTGTAAATTGGGCAGGAGAATGGCAAAATGGACATTGATGGTGTGTCATTTTCAATCGAATCGGTCATTTAGTGCTGAGTCAGGAACTGAATCCCCTCTAGCTCCTGTTTGTTTTATTCTGCATAGCAGAAAGTGACATTAGATGTTTATCTTTAGTGATCAATGGATCCACAGAGGAAAGCTTAAAAACCCCATTCTGCCTGGTAACAGAAATGTATACTTACAGTGTGACCACATGACTTTTGACTTTCCGGCTGAGAGGGTGTTCTCCATCATGTCAGCCAAATCGTATGGACACTGCCCCTCGGGCAGTCGTAAAAGGGCATGCTTGCCCTTGTTATGATGAACCAAGGATGACGGCATTCGGGCTGGATTTGCAGAGCGTGGATTGTTTTGGGCTCCCGGCAGAAATGCACATGATCCCCATACTTTTATTATAAATCAAAACCTGCTGGTAGCTAGATGGCTGTTTTTCAAGCTTCATAGGGTTTCAGGCTACAATGGGCGTCTGTGTGTTTATGTCTTATTTGTTCCTGCAGTCTCGCGTGAAACAAGGATAGTTGCTACCAGATGTAATGAGACATGGATTGTTTATTTATGTGTTTTTCAGAGACATTTAAAGACTGTGTTGTATTTACTCATTATTACACGAGGTAATTATGACACCAGCTTCTTCTTATTTACAGCTTGCCGGTAATGACCCTTCTTCTGATGATTCCGTCGAGCTCAGCTGGTGTGGGGCGTGAGAGCCAAACTAAGAGGCTGATTGTGTGTTAGTTGCCGAACCACTGTAATAAAGTGCTCTGTCTTGTCTTGTATCCCTCCCCAGAACTCCCCAAGGCAGCCCTGAGGATCCTCAGCAACACGACCTTCCTGTTCGTCAGCCTGTCCTACACGGCAGAGTGTGCCATCGTCACCGCCTTCATCACCTTCATCCCCAAGTTTATCGAGTCCCAGTTTGGTATCCCCGCCTCCAGCGCCAGCATATACACCGGTGAGTCTAAAAGGGGCGTCTGTCAATCGACTCCATCACAGTTGCAGAAGCAGAGTCGGGCATAAATAGAGTTGTCTTGTGAGTGATTGTGTCCCCTGTGGGGCCACCATGAACGATGTGTGGGAGCCTGTAATGAGGGATTCTGTGCAACATGTTCTGAACAAAGTAAAAAAACTGCAGTGAAAATTGGTGTGTTATACGTTTTATGTTGCTTTCTTTGTGTTTATTCTGATCCTGAACACGATCACACATCATCTCGTTGTATAGTCGGTACCAGTTCAAGCTCGCATCTGCTCTCACCTCTCACCTGTGCACGTCTCACCTCCACGTGCACAGGATGATTCACAAGTCTGAGGGCAGGGCTGTGAGTCATTGCTGACTTTCATTAAGTGATGAGCTTCCATTACATCGACTGACTGTAACACACTGTAACTCTGTTGACTGCGGGAGACACCTTCACCGTACTGTGGCCTCACGCACACACACACACACACACACACACTACCCTCCACATATATAGCATCTACAGATCCAAGCCAGTCGTACTAAAACACAACAAATTTGGTTTCAGGATTATTAGGAGTGATTGAAAATTCAATTAAGTCTGTGTGTGTGTGTGTGCGTCCATGTAATCTAGCTAACATATGGTCACCTCTGGATGCACATACAAACACACGCACAATGCCATTGCCTCATCTCATTTGCCTGTTGCCAGGATACAAGGGGTAAGAGCAAGAGGGCGGTGCGGTTGCCATGGCTACTTGAACGATGCCAAGCTGCTGGGATGTGATGTTCGGTGAGGAGGAGGAGGAGGAGAGGGCGCTCCTGTTGATGGGAGCACAGTGCTTCCTCAGACAGACAGACGGATGGACTTGCCAACTGACATTTCTCTGATTGTTTTTTTTTCAAGACGGGTCAACTACGGGAATATCATTACATTTCCTGTTCATTGTGTGAGTTATTTGTTATAACTGCTGTGATTGGATGTAAAACATCCTGCTTCAAATGCAACAAATAACCAAATAACTGGACTCATAAAACATCAACATAGCTTTGCACTTAATCTTGAAGTATTTGCACTGTTACGTTCATTGCTTCTTAGTGTTTGTATTCATGTTTGTTCATTGAAAACTATGCAGAGATAGTAGATAATATATAATATGAGAGAATTTAAAAACGGCAAAACCATGTTAGCATGATAACGTCACGCAGCGATCAAACAGAATCATCCCGCAACTCTGTAGTTCCCCTCTGCTCTGTAGAGTTTTAGAGAGACTGTCAGCTCATTGGTTTGATTAAAGGCTGTTTTGGTTCAGACTCTCCATTCTCATCAAGCTCATTTTCAGAAGGAGCAGGCGACTGTTACAAAAAGTAATGCTGTGCAGAGAGAGAAAACAAACCAAAAAAGTTGATCCCAAGTGGCCTAAAAATCTTTAATGCAAGTAAAACCAATTCTACTCTAGATGTTAAATGAATCTGGCTAACAGAGCACAGCCCTAATTGACAATGGATTGATTGGTTTGGTTCTGTTCATTAAAGCTTTTATTGGGTTTTTGCTGTATTTGCAGTACGCCCGGTCTGTCTCATTTTTTTGGGGGGGGAGTTGCTAGAAATAGAGGAATAGTTTGGTATCTAGTATTAGCAGCATTAGCCACAGTGGCTAACGAGTCCAAAGAAGGCAATAAATAAAAATATATAATAGCTTTGTCTTACTACATGCCAAGTGATCTGTAGGAAGTGAACCATAAAGACTGCAATGTAGAAACAAAAGATGTCAAAATATGATAAATGGAAATCTCACAAATGACCACCTCGGTGAGTCCGTATCGCTGCTACATGCTGATTAGACGTCGCTACAGAAATAGCACTGGAATACGTCGCACACGCCTCCCTCGGATGCAGTTTCCCCCATTATGCTCTTTCTACGCTCTGACTTCTTTTCTTCTATCTCTGCTGTACGAGCTGACAAAGCAGTGTAAAGGTTTGTCATGAGATTCACAACGTCTGTGATATAGGATCTCTATAATAGATTAGCACCGACATGCTCACATTCATCAAATGACTCTCAATCCAGATAAAATATGTGTAGAGCATTTGTGTAGCAGTTAATCCTACAAAATAGTTTGTGTGTGGGTGTGTGCGCCTTATGTCACTGTGATATGATATCTGGCGTGGCTGTGTACATGTTTAATCCTGCAGAAAGCACAAGGTTTTAGCACATAAACATGCACTTAACAGGATAATGTTATGGCACAGCTGTCTGTTGCCGAGCTCTCTGTGTCCTCAAAGAGACACATTTTCTATCTCTGACGACCCTTCACCCCCGCCGACTGACCCCCATCTTGCTCGTTAAGCGGGCGCGAGTGCCTGTGGCCGGTGCTCGAGGGCTGACCATGTGCAACCTTCCCCGGGCCTTAACTCCTGCACAATGTGACACTTTACACCCGGTTCCAAGTTGCCAGCAGCAGAGCTTTGCCTTTTCTTCACGCTGTCAATTAGACCAGCTCTAGTGGACCGAGAGCGCGTGCTCTGTGCTGCCACAGTCTGAAATGACTCAGTGGTAGCCCACAGCGTAGCTTGGTCACAATGATGGGGCAAATCCTCTTGTGATCCCACCATACAATCGTTTATATGAAGCCATGACGAGTTCACATTATTCATGTTAGTGCTCCTGGTTTGAAATACTGTAGATCAGATGCTTCTCACTCAGTCAGTCGTGCATTACAGCAATTAAGTCAGTGTTAACATTTCTTTTCTTGCCACCAATTAGCTGCTCTATTATTATGCCGTTCATGCCGCAACACTTCTGAAGTTTTTTTTTTTTTTTCCCCCTCCATCTCACCCTCTCTTCTTTTCCCCGATCTCTCACAGGTTTGATCATCGTACCCAGTGCCGGGGTGGGCATCGTGCTGGGGGGCTACATCATCAAGAAGCTGAAGCTCGGCGCCAGAGAGTCGGCCAAGCTGGCCATGATCTGCAGCGGGGTGTCTCTGCTCTGCTTTTCCACACTCTTCATAGTGGGCTGCGAGAGCATCAATTTAGGAGGCATCAACATACCTTACACCACTGGGTAAGGACCAATGTCTATGCTATATATTCAATATGACTCGTTTTATGTGTGTTGTACATGAAGCCAGGTATACATTTGTTTCTAAATGGCTTATTTAAGGAAAAGTCTGCTTATGAATTTATATCTATCTATAGAAATACAGGAGAAAGGTGTGGGCCATCATGTGTTGGGAGTACAAATGATTAATTGGCAACACTGGCATCTGCTCTCGTGGCTCCGTTGACTCACTCTGCCACCTCTATTTCTGAGGCCGCTGCTCAACACCACATCAGCAGCCAGGCTGCACAGTTAACACAGCAGTCATCCGATGTGTCAGCCCCTGCAGACAGAAATACGGAGCGGACGGTCTGTTGGCACACACGATTATTAAACACACTCTTGCAGAAGCAGAGGGGCACTATGATGCAAAAGACATACAAATATAACACATATCTACTGTATACAAATTCTAATGTTTCATAACTTATTCTGCCAAATGTCGCGCAATCATTTCATTTAAAAGTATTATATATATAAAAATACTTTTTGATAATGGACCTGGTTGCCTTTGTAGGCCAACTGCATAATTTCAGAAGTTCACAAAAACACTGAACACAAAGAGGCGAGACTGCTGAACCTCTGTGAATTTACTTTTCACATAACTAGGTTAATCATAGTGATTATTTGCCAAATAGTTACCGGGCCCTTTAAAGCCCCATGGCTGACCCGTTAACAACTGTTGTCTTTGTTTAAGCCAGTGTTTATAAGAGGGGTCAACAAGACGTGTGAGCCAGTAGCGGCTCCTCATTATGAACAGCACTGGTCATTAGTCGCCGGTAGCACCCACATGAGGAATGTTTAGGCCAAGCCCACCCTTTGTGTCACTAGTCTAGACATAACTCTCCCCCGCTGGCAGGCTGGAGGCTATTTTACAGAAAAAGGACAAGACAAAGTCTAAAGGTCCTTAACTTTTTCAGAGCCAAGAGATGAAGTTATGTAATGTTCTTGAATATCTGCAAAAGCGTCGCATGATTATGAGTCTGGCCTGTATGCTTAATGAAAAGCTGCTGTGGAGTGAGTCGGCGGTCCAATGCTCAGAATCAGCTGAACACAACTTTGTGTCCTCTGTTACAAAGCATCTTGATAAACCTTCACTCCGCCTGTTCAGTGTCTGCAGCACTAAACCACATTAAGCCACTCGCCCTCTTGAACGCTCTGCTCGGGTGCCACAACATCTGGAGAGGTCAGTGAGAGCCGGGGTTTTATTCTGGGGGGAAAAAAAGACGTGCAATCAGTGCAGTGAGCCGGTGACTCAGGCAGGGCTAATGCCTTTTTTTACCGTGCACACACACACACACGCACAGTCTCTCTCCCTCACACACAGTGTGTGGAATGTAACACTGTTATGTCAGGGCCTACTTCCCCTGTGACAACCAATATAAAAATGAGGCTGAGTTTCACTTTATGGTCTTGTGAAAAATGACGTTCCACTGATTTCAAGAAGCAGCAAAAGATATTTGTATGTTTTTTCCTGTTTGGTATCTTAAACACATAATAACAATATGTATTGTCAGTGTTGGTTTTGTGTATGTAAGTGCATGCTGCAGCGTCGCTCCCAGGCAGTTGTGTTGTCGGGGTCCCGTCCCCGGCTGTTCCGCAGGGCTCAGAGCGAAGCCTCCCAGAGAAAACCCAAGACTCGCTTCACTGCTCCCGGTTTAGACAAAGTCAAAGTCCAGCATCTGTTCCCACACTGCCTCCCGAGGCACTGGAGGTGTCACTCCCCACCCAATGGCTGCTTGGGTTTTTGTTTCTTGCTGAAACAAATGTTTCTAGAGGGGATGCCATGCAGGGAAGAAGAGAGGGGAAAATAAGTATCATCCTATTTGCACCAGGGAGCATTGGGTATCTCCAAAGTGGGATTCAAAAAAAGAAAATAAACCTTCAGTGCATGTAGCCCCTGCACTAAACCGGTCTATTAAGTGGATATAATCGGTCCCTGTTGTTCCTAACAAATGTTTTCTGTGTCCCTTCGTGCAGTCCGACTCTTACGATGACCCACAGGAACCTGACGGGCAGTTGCAACGTGAACTGTGGCTGCAGGAGCCACGAGTACGCTCCGGTCTGCGGCTCTGACGGCATTACCTATTTCAACCCCTGTCTGGCTGGATGCAACACCGTGGGCAATGATAGCACCGGGGTAAACTCATACACACATAACGCATGCTCGCTACGCCCATAGCTTCATTGCTTTCTTGTTTCAGAAATAATTGCTATGTAGCCATTTATACATCAAGTAGAATGCAAAATTCTGATTTCAGAGAACGGACACACTAATCAGAATGAATACACAAAGACCTGTTCTCTGTGCATTCTGCTCCCATAGCTCTGAAAGTACAGGAAGTGTCCGACTCCACAACAATGTCAGATAGGAAGTTATAACAGCATGAGGAAAAGGAATGTCTAGATTGCACCATATCCCTGGTGCCACCCATTCAGCCTGTATGTGTGCGTGTGTGTGTCAATGTAGCAACAATATCAGTAATGTTTGGAATTAGCGTCAGACTTTAGTCATCTTACAAAGAGAGCTACCCCATCCGAGTGGGCATGCATGTGCCCATACATACTTGTATTGTTTCTCACCACAGATTAGGAACTACACAGACTGCGGCTGTGTGCAGAGCAGACAGGTCATCACCCCATCCTCCGGCGGCCAGGTCAACCAGCTCCAACTGGTCATCGTTAAAACCTACCTGAACGAAAACGGCTATGCCGTTTCGGGGAAGTGTGACCGCACCTGCAACACCCTCATCCCTTTCCTCATCTTCCTCTTCATTGTCACTCTTATCACCGCTTGTGCCCAGCCCTCCGCCATCATCGTCACACTCAGGTAAGTGACTGGCTCTGCCAATCATCACAGAGTTCTCACAGTGCTGTTACAGCTGGTTGTTAGTTTCAGTTTATGTCCACTTTGCTAAAAGTCTCTTTCTGTCTGTTTTACAATTATAATACATGGAACGTTTTTTTCTTTTATTTGAATGCAGTGAATCGTTATCATTTGCATGTTGTGTCTACTTTCTCAGGTCTGTCAAAGCACAGGAGAGGCCTTTTGCTCTTGGGATGCAGTTTGTCTTGCTCCGAACTCTTGGTAAGTTCCTGAGTATTTGCGCTGTGTTAAATGATAAACATATTAGGACCACATACTGTGTGTTTTGTGACCTTGTTTATGGGTTTAAACTACTATAATACCTTGTCGATTGTATAAAATTTGCTGTTTTTTTTTAAGGTTAAAAGGATTTTGGAAAGGAGAAATGGTTTAAATGAGTCAAAGCAACATATTTGTAATAAATCTGTCAATAAGTGGACAGTAAATGACCACCTGAGCAGCCCTCAGGGTTAGTAAACACTGCCCTTACATGCTTCAAATCTGCTTGGTATGGCTGTGTGAACATAAAGCTGCCACATCACTTCTCTTGAACCACTGAAAGATTTTCATTTTGTTATGACACTATGTTGTCTGTTTCTTTTGACTTCTTCATTACTATATATACTATATATTCTTGTGTAATAATTTCATGACATACTAAATTAAAACTTTTGTATGACTTTTGTCATACTATACCATGTCATTTTTTACAATATACTTTTTTCGACATACTACTTTAGATATTTTTGACTTATTGTTACATACTGTACTATGAATTTTTTAAATATTTTATGACATACTATACTATGACTCTTACCTTTTTTATGAAATACTATTACCTTTTAGGACATTTGTTGCGACCTACTATACTGTGACTTTTTATGACACATACCATCATTTTTTGATGACTTTTCAAGATGTACTAGACTTTTTATTACTTTGTATAAAATACTAATGACTGTATGACTTAAAAAACTTTTTCCGACATACTATACTATGACCTTTTTTTTACTTTTTCAACAGTTACTTATTTTACGACTGTATGATTATAAATACTATATTTCAAAATATCACTCGATAAGCAAAGCTCTTGTCACGGGGTGTGGTGGCCGACCCAAACGCAGGCACAGAACAGGGAGTACGAGCGTGTAATGGTTTATTTACAGGGAAAACGGCGAGGAAATCCAAGGAGGGCGAGGGTGGAATCCAGGCAGGACGTGGCAGGGCAGGCAGACTGGGGAACCGGGAGGATGAACCAAACTGCAGGAACAGGAAGACATTGTCAATGCAATGAAAAGACAGTTGGTTAAAAACTCTGAAATACTTTCAAACAGAACGAACAAACTACCACATAAGTTGTAACATCGATCTTGTGAAGAGTGGATGAAGAACCGGGGTAGATATACTGTTGGAAGGCAGCTGGGTTGACTGGGCAGGTGAGGTAAATTGTAATCAAGAAGCCAGGAGGAGACTATGTCCGAGCCACCACACACACACACACACACACACACACACACACACACACACACGAACAACAAGCAGGGGGCACGGCTTGGACGTGACGGCTCTCTAACTAAGTTTTACTGTACTTTACTCTCAGTAAATAATCAATGTTAACAACTTGATATTAAAGGAGTGATTTGGTAATCCTAAAATCACTATGGTGGCACCAAACATCCTGAGCCAAATTACGTAAAGTGGTAGCAGTCAAAGTCTATTCTGAATCCAACGTTACAGGTCAGATATGCTACTGGTTTACACGACAGGAGTTTGGTGTGAGTATCTTACCACAGCATCCTACATCGGACACACCGGAAGCCTGAAGTGAGCTCTGAGGCAGACTGGCACGCAGACTTCCTGCCCCCTGGTAGCATTGAAGACTGGTCGACCTTATTTACGCAATGCTGACGCAGCCTGTGGCTTGCCCCACACAGCGATAACCAACTATGCAGGGCTTTTAAGGGCGCGACTGTGTCTTCCCCACAGTTCGAACGCCAACCGTCAGCATTGGCTAAGAGAAGCCAGGGCTACTACCAGAGAGTCCCTCAGGAAGCCTGACCACAATCCCATATATATATATAACTGTAATAGCTACTATGAGCAGTGGTTTTGCCGCAGCCTGCCTGAGAGCTGTGGAGTTGTTGAAAGCAGTAGGATGCTGTGGTAAGATACTCACACCAAACTCCTGTCGTGTAAACCAGTAGCATATCTGACCTGTAACGTTGGATTCAGAATAGACTTTGACTGCTACCACTTTACGTAATTTGGTCAGGATGTTTGGTGCCACCATAGTGATTTTAGGATTACCAAATCACTCCTTTAATATCAAATTGTTAACATTGATTATTTACTGAGAGTAAAGTACAGTAAAACTTAGAGAGCTTTGCTTATAGGAGTGCTATTTTGAAATATAGTATTTATAGTCATACAGTTGTAAAATGTTGGGATTTACTCTAACTTCCTACATTAGGACAGTGTTTGTATGCTCTCGTTCACTCGCAACTCTCTCTGGCTCCTACTCTATCAGCTGACAGTGGGCGATTTCGCCACGGCCTCCCTCAGCCAATCATATATTTTCTGTCAAACTTTAAAGACCGGTTCTCTTCTCTGCAGTCAGTTGTCATTTCAGAACCGATGTGACCCTCCTCCTCATTCATCATCACATCCGGTGCTCAAGGTTTCTCCTACTGAGCTCAGTCGCACTCCACATGCTATCGTCTAGATCTTCAACCTACCAACTATACCAACCTTCCAACTACATAGGACACACCGGAAGCCTGAAGTGAGCTCTGAGGCAGACTGGCACGCAGACTTCCTGCCCCCTGGTAGCATTGAAGACTGGTCGACCTTATTTACGCAATGCTGACGCAGCCTGTGGCTTGCCCCACACAGCGATAACCAACTATGCAGGGCTTTTAAGGGCGCGACTGTGTCTTCCCCACAGTTCGATCGCCAACCGTCAGCATTGGCTAAGAGAAGCCAGGGCTACTACCAGAGAGTCCCTCAGGAAGCCTGACCACAACCCCATATATATATATAACTGTAATAGCTACTATGAGCAGTGGTTTTGCCGCGGCCTGCCTCAGAGCTGTGGAGTTGTTGAAAGCAGTAGGGGCAGGTTAGACGATGGCATGTGGAGTGCAAACACTGTCCTAATGTTACAGGTCAGATATGCTACTGGTTTACACGACAGGTGTTTGGTATCTTACCTGCCCCCTGGTAGCATTGAAGACTGGGCGGAAGTTGTCGCGCTGTGACGGGGGACGCTGGCGAGTCCAACGCCGCTCCGTCTGGCAGTTTTTCCTACCCTAATCACAAATTAACCTACATTTTGGTTTTATTTAACAGTGTCGTTAAGTTCAATCACCGTAAATAGCCATTAGTCTCTGTTTTTGAACTCTACTGCAACGCTTCGTCTTGGACTTGTTTGCTTACCTGTTGCACCTGCTCTCCACTGCTACCGTCTACTCCCTGAACAACTAGCTAGCTAGCTGGCGGACTCTCGCTAGCCGGCGGCTACCGACGAGCCAGCCGGCTCCCTGCTGGATACTCGTGTCCATGCTCCTTGCTCCTGCCCTGAGGCGGGTTGCCTGGATAGCCTCTCAACTGTCCTGGTGCGGTCAGTCTGACTGCTGCTTCTTCAGCTAGCTGTTAGCTAGCCGCCCTCCAATCCGCGTGTAGCTAACGTTAGCAGCTGACTGAACTGCCTCCTCCGTTTCCTCGCCTCATCCATCACCACTTTTTCACTCAGCTCCGATCTCCGGCCTGTTATGGATTATCCTGACGTGCCTGTCACTTCTCCAACTCCGGTCATCAGGTCCGTGGCTACCGACAAAAGACCTCAGGCTGCCATGGTTCTGCAATACTCCACCTCGCAACTCCTCCAACTCAACAACTTCAATGCTCCTCCGTGTATCTCAGCCATTTAAACGCTTGGGCTCCTCCGTCGGCCCCGGTGCATCCGCGGAGCCTCCCGCAGAAAGTTTGTTTGCTCCTGGCCTGATCGCTCCACTCTTTCCATCCCCTCCCTCTGGTCAGCCGAGCACACTATGAACACATCACACAGCACCCTACCTTCCCATTCCGCACAGCTTCTCCAGTTATTCTTTTTTTTTTACCAAAGTGTTTTGTTTGTTTGTTCTGTTTGTCTTTGCCCTGTAAAGCGTCTTTGGGTATCTTGAAAAGCGCTATAGAAAATCGATGTCACCATGCAGAACTCAAGAGTCCTCCTCACCGTCAGCATTGGCTCCGAGAAGCCACACACATGTTCCATCCAGCATTCTGTTCTGTTCTGTTCTCAAGGGCAGATAATGTCTCCTTTTATGAATCCACTATTTGCTAGTCCCATTATAACCCATTAGCAGTAATGACATAACACCGTATATTACAAAACAAATATTTTTGTCTATTGCTCTGCAGATTGCAGATATTTTAAATCATACATACAACAAAACTGTTAAACTGTTGCAAATAACTCCACAAATTATCCTTTTAACATTGTTAAGCTGTCTGTGTTTGCGGATTCATATTCAAATGCTAATATCTTGCATCCCGTGTACTGTATGGTAACTATATCCACACCCAAATCTCACCTGCACCTGAGTTTGGGAATTAGTCAGTTGCAGTGGCGGGCGGGCCGTGCATTTTATACAGGGGCCTTCACTGCTGTCCTGCAGCTGAAACACAGCTACGGTTATTATTTGAAGCCAACACCTATAGATGGAGTGCGTCTGCTCTGACTGCAGATGGGGACTGCTGCGCCTGTGTGTGCTTTGGGGCAGCTCGCGGCGGAGGGGCTCACGGTAGCTCCCGCTGCTCGTTCACGACAGTGCAGAACATAACGTTACGTGCTTTCACGAGTCAAAACACCACAAAAGTCTCCAACAACACCCAGAACAAGTCACTAGATTTGTCACTAGTAGCTTTTGACTAAAAAAAGTCGCCATGAGGGTTTGGAAAGTCGCCAGATTTAGCGAGAGTGTTGGCAATAACTGGCACCGGCTAAAGATGTCTCCAGAGCAACATTGGACGTAACAATGGTTCCTATCACATATAAAACCAAACAAAAATCTTCAGAAAAACAAGTTGTACAAATAATAATATATAAAGAAGCATATTAAAGCTACTGCAGATGTACAAACAAACGCATTTAACTTACCAGAGCTGCTGTTCACTATTTAAAGACAAAGTGCATCCTCCTTTCTTTGTTAACAAAGAGTTTAATCCCACGGTTGTTCAGTATATCCGTGCGTTTTAGTTCCAGTAAGAAGTCCTTCTCGATTCATGGACGCCAGTGAAGACAGTCGAGCCTCCCCAGTTGTGTTTCTTGAATAGGTTTTAATGCGTTTGAGGGCTGAAAATGTGGCTCACAGCAGATATTGGGATTGTCACTGCCCAACATGTCACGCTAGCCCACTGACCAATCACGTACTTGTAGGCCAGCTAGCAGGCTATGGCACGTCAAAGAATACGCCCAACATGTCAAACTAAAGATCTGATTGGTTGAACACTATGTCAATCAACAATATCGTCCCCATTCACTTAAACTGCAAAGGGATTCACTTGAGAGTCTGCAGGCCTCGGGCCTCTCTTCTTATGCCGTGTTCACACCAAACGTATTCGCGTCATTTGCGCCGCTGGTCTTGCCGGGGACTATTTGTGTTCATTCGCTTGAATCGCGCTGGACGCGCCGGAGAGGGGGTGTGGCATATCGCCCTAAAGCCGTTCAGCTGTCTGCCATCAACCATGGAAAAAATAACCTATTTCTGCTTAGTACGTGTTGTACACAATTTACTGTATACAAAATTGTCATGATTTTTTAGATCTACTTTCACCGTGTGTACTTACAGTAAATTACACACAGCAACTGTTTTGTTTACCAGATTTTAAGTTTTGAACTCTCTGCTCCCTCAGCTTACATCCCCACGCCCATCTACTTTGGCGCTGTGATCGACACCACCTGCATGCTGTGGCAGCAGGACTGCGGAGTGCACGGCTCCTGCTGGGAGTACGACGTCACCTCGTTCCGCTTCGTCTACTTTGGCCTGGCGGCCAGCCTTAAGTTTGTGGGCTTCATCTTCATCTTTCTCACCTGGTACTCGATCAAGCATAAGGAGGATCGAGCGGATCGCTGGCGCCAGCACCTGCCTCCTCTGGGCACAGTCAGCGACCTCATCTGCCACGCCGGAGGTCACAAAAGCCACGCTCGCACCCGCTCCTGCCCCGTGTTCATCCCGCCTCGGCCGGACCCGCCCGCCGCCCTGCTGCTCAACCGTGGCCACAGCAGCCTCAGCTGCCCCGGCAACGCCCTCAAAGCAATAACCCCGCCCATCCTGTTGCCACATCACCACAGAGGCTCCGCCCGTGTCTGAGAGCACTCCAAGCATCCCTCCGGGGGTCCATTGTGACACGTGCCTTCCTGTTTGTGTTTCTTCACCACACAGTGTCTGCTTCCCACCAACGAGACGCCAGGCGGGGATCCACAGCTGCCGCGGGACATACGGGCAGAGACGCAGGTTGCAGCCACCATATTTAAAGGGCTGCTCATTGTTGCTTGTGCAGGAGACTGACAAATGTTCTTTCTTTCTGAGCATATCATCAGCCACACACAAGCGTCCACACAGGAGGTCAGACGTCTGCTCGAAGGTTTCGGATGATGTAAAGACATCACATGGTGCTACTGTTAAAGAGCAGGGCATTAAAATCTCTGTACAGATGAGTCATCAACACAGCCTCTAAAGCACAACTGACAAACCTGTACTATGCAAGATCCTATGTACAGCTCCTCCCTCCTCAGTCCTGTACAGCTCCCTCTGTACTACATCTGTACCTCTTTCTTATTCCCCGCTCAATTGCTACGTTATTGTCGGCTCGTTCATAATTCCATTTCCCCTTCCAGTTTGAGCTGTGAACATATCAGCAACCTCTCTTGTATTTGAGCCTTTTCCGGTGTCGTTTGGATCATAAGAATTGAAGTGTTTTTTTTTTTCCCTTTTTTCTGCAACAGTGCCTCTCAGGCTGTCTTGGCCAGTCCAGTACACAAAGCTAGCTACCAGGGTACACGCTAGCTACTGAGAAGCCAGTCGCTGTCCTCTCAGTCGAGCGACGATATTCTGCTTTGTTGCCCTCCTCAGCTTCTGTGTTTGGGAACTGCTGTCACTGAACTCGAGTCTTTTGCGCCCGTCGGACGAAGCTCCTCGCCTTGGGCAAAGTAACCATGTAGCTTAAAGCTGACCAAGCACCAATGGTACAGTGTTTAATGACTTCTATGAAATCTATATTTCAGTACACACCACGCTACTTTACTATTATGACGTGTAATAATTAGAAAGGTAACTCATCTCTGACCATGTGCTGACGCTACTGTATGTCCAAAAGATGTGATTGTACTTGAAGCTGGAAATGCGATGGAGATTTTAAAGAATGTGGCAAAACCTCAACAAATCTGACCGACAAACTTCTTCAAAGTTAAATTATTTGTATCTTATCTATCTGCAACAAGAAAGGAAAGGATGCATCACTTTGGCTTCTCCATTCTAATGGTCAGATGTACATAGTAGTTATCTAGTAGTCTAGGCTTTTAAGAAAGTAGTGCAGCGAGCATGTAAAACAATGAACTCCCTTTCTAGTGATTGGATGTTGAGTATTCAGTTCCTGGGTGTTTGGGGCCCTCTAGTGGACAAAGAGGTGATTGTGTGAAGGCCAGTGAATGTTGCGGTTTGTCTGACTGTGCTATGAAAGTCTTGGCTTAAAAGGTTAACTATTAAACTAATCTAATAAAGTTATTGTATAAATGATTCTGATTAGTTCGATGCAGTGTATACATTTTAAAAGTTAACATTTTGGGCCAAGATTTGTGGTATTCTGCCAGTTAAAGATTATCACGTGGTAATGGCAGTAACTCATAGTATTATCGTGACTTAGTACCTCAAATTACATATTCATAAGTGATCGTTGTGTAAATATTGAGAAATCAAATGAAGCGTATTATTGAGCTCGCGCATAGCTAGAAGCATATTTATGAATTTACCCATGATATTGTAGCTTAAAATGAAAAAAGGGTTGTAAATGACTCACAGCTACAAAACAGAGGATTTGTCTCGTGCCTGAACAGTATTATTCACACGGGAAGGGTCGAGTTCATCGGGGGGGGGGGAAGATCATCTGTCCTGATTCTCTACCATTCCACGGCTTCAAAAAGAAGAATAGCGACGTGGGGTTATAGATCGGGTCCCCTGCGGGTGTCACTAGAAAGACAAATGGGACCCGTGCCGAGTCATCTTACAAATAATATTTATTATATTCACTTCCCAATGTGGCCGCTTATGAAATCTGTTCTGATAAAATACTAAATGAACATGTTTGAATAAAAATGTTTAAAATTTAGATTGAAGCTTTTATCTAGACTTCCCTGCTAGAACAGTGCTATACAGAGGAGGATCATTATTGGACACCACTGTTACTGGACACCTACTTCCGTGTCCTGCTGTTCACATGCCTGGACTACTACTGACACATGACTTGGGGTTGACTGTAGAAGCTGTATTCTGAAAGTCGAGCTCTGATGGCTTTTGTTCCTCGGGAGCAGAGGTCTGATTGATGTTTGTCAACTCTTGGTTTACAAATGCCTTGAATACTTGATTTGTCATTAAAAAAAAAAAGATAAAAATGGACTCCGATGGATGAATTGTTGCAGAGCGTCGTGTATATGTGGTGCGGCAAAAACTTACAACGGAAATGTCACAGGGAAGGTTGAAAGGGTTTATTTAACAGCTTCGTGGCTTTCCTGAAACCAGAGTG